AAGAACTCGTTCGGAAAGTGAGATGTTATGGGTAAGTTTTCCGCAATGTTGCGCTCGCATATACTGACTTGCCAAGCTTTGGTGCTGTAATGGAAGAATTTGAGGTGCGAGATGCTATCGACAATGTGTTCAGCGGTAAGGACACGATGATGGGTGAATAGGAGTTTGTTTTGTGTTTTTCCACTAGGGGGGAACGGTAGCTGTTGTTTGGATATTACTGTTTGCTGTTTTGACATCTTAATGATGAGCATATCTCTAGCATCTCTCCTTACCTATTCTGGCTATTATAAGTTACAAAATCCGTTAAAAACCACATGTCTCAAATCTCTCCTGAGACCCTCTTATTTGTAAATAATGGGAGGAGCATACAACCGTCCAGGGACCGCAACATCATAAGTCAACTTTGATCTAGGACCGTTCAAAATGATCTACTTTACCTTGTTGTGAAATATGCTTGTTTACCCTATGCCTGTTAACCGTGGCTGAGTGGCTGAGGCACACAATCAGCACCGCGGGGCTTGAGTTTTTTCAAGCCCCACTCCACCCCACCACAAATTCGTCGTGGATGTCCAAATTCTAGCATCGCTTGTGAACCGAAAGATTGATTGACCCATCCCCCGCTTCCGAAGCCAACACCGAGCTTCCTTGGTTTTCGTCTATCGCGCACCCGAAAGCGCAAGGAAATCATCGATACTGTTCTTCAAAAAATGGCGGACTCTCTCGACTACGTCAAGATCTGCGAAAGCTGCCCCGCCGGTGACGGTTGGGGTCCTGCAGTCACCACAGAGACTACCCTCAACGGCGTGCCATATGCGCCTTTCTCCAAGGGTGATAAGTTGGGACGCATGGCCGACTGGACTGCAGAGGGCAAGGATAGAGAGCGAGGCGGACGAGCACAGTACAACAGGAATTTCCGAGGTAGGTCATATCGTGTTGTCGTGTTGTTATGTTCTCTGTCGAGATCACCCTCGTCTTGAATGAGCTCTTGGCTGACCGCAATAATTCCTGTAGACCAACAAGTCTATGGCTCTAGCCACGCCATTACCTTTAATGCCCCTCCAGCCGAGGACGAATCAACATTCTCAGTCGTTAGTAACGTCCGAGACTCGACAAAGTCAAGATACGGCCGCGGGGCCGTCTTCACTCGTGGCCGTGGCCAACGTGGAGGTCAGGCCGGTGCCCGGGGCGGACGAACCCAGCTTCAGAGAGGCGGCGCCGGTGCCGCTGGTCGACAGGGCTACGACCGAGGTGGTCGATCCAATGCTGGTCGTGGCGGTCGCCGCTTTGGCTGGAAGGATTATGACAAGCCTGCTCGTAACCGAGACGCCAGTATCAACGTCAAGGCCGAGTGGAAGCTTCTTGAGGAGATCGACTTCAACCGCCTGGCTAAGCTGAATCTTGACACCGACGAGGGTGAGGATATTGATGACTACGGCTTCCTCTACCACTATGACCGCTCTTACGACAAGCAGCCTGTCAAGGGTGCCGAGAAGAAGCTCACACCAATCGACCGTGCTGCCTACAACGTTACCACCTCATCCGATCCCGTAATCCAAGAGCTTGCCGAAAAGGACGAGGCAACTATTTTCGCCACGGATAGCATTTTGTCCATGCTGATGTGCTCTCCTCGATCCGTTTACCCCTGGGACATTGTCATCTCTCGACAGGGTAACAAGATCTTCTTGGACAAGCGCGATAATGCCGCTCTTGATATGGTGACAGTCAATGAGAATGCCGCCGATGCTCCTCTCGATGCTGCTGATGGTAGTAAGGACACCATCAACCAACCCAATGCCCTTGCCGAGGAGGCCACCTACATCAACCATAACTTCACTAACCAGGTCGTCATCGAGAGCGAGTCGTCGAAGGTCACTATGGCTCACGGCAACCCCTTCTACAACTCCTCTGAGGATACCGACCCTCCTGCCAGCAAGGCCTACAAGTACCGACGCTTCGACCTTTCCCTTAACGAGGAGGAGCCTGTCCACCTCGTCGTCCGAACAGAGGTCGACGCCGTTCAAAGGAACGCCATCAGCGGCGAGGACCAGCACGTCAGCATCCATGCTCTCAACGAGTTTGACAGCAAGGCTCAAGGCAGCGGCGGCGCTCTTGACTGGCGAAGCAAGCTTGTTACTCAGCGTGGTGCTGTTGTTGCGACCGAGATGAAGAACAACAGTTGCAAGCTCGCCCGCTGGACAGTGCAGAGCATCCTCGCCAGCGCAGACGTGATGAAGCTTGGGTAAGTTTGCTAATTTACTGATACCTGAATGATCTGCTAATAGATCTGCAGCTTTGTTTCCCGTCTCACCCCCCGTTCCAATGACAAGCACGTCGTATTGGGCGTTATCGGCTGGAAGCCCCGCGATTTCGCTAACCAGATGAACCTATCGCTCTCCAATGGTTGGGGTATTGTTCGCACTATCGCCGACATGTGTCTCAGCAGCGAGAGCCAAGATGCTAAGTTTGTCCTCGTCAAGGACCCGAACAAGTCTATCCTCCGTCTGTACGAGGTGCCTGCTGGTAGCTTCGACGACGATGAGGAGGAGGAGGTTGAGGAGCCCCAGGGCGAGGAGGAGCAGTAGATCAAAGAGAACTAGACATGGCCATGTCACGTTGTGCATATTCGGTAGTTTCATGATGGTGGGGAGGGCCACGGGATAAAAGGCATGAGATTTGCAGGGAGTCCCATGCTCTAATGATTTGAAGCAGTGGATGCAATCTCTATCAGGTTCTGGAAGGCCATTTTTTGTATTTGACTGTGGTTGCAGTCTGGAACGAGAAGAACACGTGATTTTGCTTAACATTTTGTTGTATGGTACCTATAGGTAGGTACCTACGTGTGGGGTTTGTGACCTTGACTTGGCGTGAAGAACCTACTCACAAACGGTCGACTTCCATATATATTAACAGTATACAAAATAAATACTGCAACGACTGTTACTATATTGCAATTTGAAGAATCGAGCCTGATATTTTCTTCGCTTCCGGGGCCTAGCTTTGGAGAAACAGTTTGGGTTTGTCACTGCTTGATGGCCAGGATATGGGAAACATAGCTACAAGAAACGTTGACCAAGATGCAAGCATTATCAGATATCTCGGGACTTCTGTTGATTTGTCAAACAAAGACCACTGGTAATTGCAAGTGGCTCAGAGGCCCAGGAGAATAGAACGCCGGTGGTCCGTCCTCGGTAAGGACGGCACGGGTAACCCGAGAGCAGCGTTAAGCTGTGGTAACTATACTTTACGCGCCTCAGGAGGCAAAGGCTTCGTCATGATGGGTATGTAGCCATCTACGGAGTACAGTTGACGAGAGACTGGCTGGTTTAGGTTACCGGGGATGGCGAGTTGTGGCTGAAGAAGAAGTTTATGACATACATCTGTTTATGGCTGGAAATGACATCAGTTGATCAATCTGAATCTCGAGATGCTCAAACTCCAGTCTAGCCTCATGGTAACCCCGGGGAAGCAGGAAAACTCGAGACATTTAGCCTAAGTGACAAAAGAATTTGGGCAGCTTCAACTTGGAATTCATGTAGAATTAGAGGATCATAGACTGAGTGTTTTTGACACCTTGACCCAAGATCAGAACTTTTCTTACCCACGCACCCCTCCCCAAGCAAGAATAGGTAACTAGGTCTCGTTCATGCCGCACTACCGATCAGACGGACCTTAGGGTGACGGGAGCCCTCCCCGCAGCAGGCATTACGAGCCTCTAATTGGTTGATCAAGCTCTCATTGTTCCAGTCTCAAATGCTCTAAGATGGCTGTTGCCGATGGCCAATTGAAGATCCGTTGCCCGTGACCTCGAAGCTTCTCACATGGCGGGCGCAATATAGGTACTATAGATACTTCTTCTCCTCCACCCTCATCTCCGTCATTTCTTTCCAAGGCGACACCTCTCCTGCGCTTCTTCATCATCATCATACGTAACCTCTAGGCGGTCTATCATACGCAGCTCAATCGCAGCAACAACAACTTCGTTTATCTATACCATGTCTGCTCAAGATTACTACGGCGGCGGTGGCGGCGGTGGAGGCTACCCTCAGCATCCCCAGCCGGTTCGTTACCCGAGCGCATCAAAAAAACCTCGATCGCGATTGCTAATTATGTCGTTTCGCAGTCTTACGGTCCCCCTCAAGGTCAATACGGCCCTCCCCAAGGCCAGTATGGCCCTCCTCAGGGACAGTATGGTCCCCCTCAAGGGCAATATTACGGTCCACCCCAAGGCCAACCTCCCATGCAATATCAACAAGCACCCCCTCAACAAAGTGGTGGCAAGCGTGGCGGCGGCGGCTGCTTGACAGCTTGTCTGGCGGCCATGTGCTGTTGCTGTGTCGCTGAGGAGGGATGCGAGTGCTGGTAAGTCAAATTCCGTGGAGTCATCGGCGTCATCAAGTATTGGAGGCTCTTGACTAGCGCCAATTGAGCTCCGCGCAAGCACAAAGCCAGACCGAAGTGAATACATACTAATGTGTGCCGCTTATAGCATCGATTGTTGTGACTGCCTCTTCTGAACGGCCTGCCTCAGCGAAACAAAGTAGACACGATCCCCACGATACATATAATCAGCCCGCGCATGGCCCTATGAAAACCTCGAGAATCCTTACACCTCTTCAAACAATTTGTAAAACGATTTACAAAGACCCTGTCCCCTGATTAAATAATATATGACGTTCTCTCGCAGAGATGGTGGACGTGGCGTTATCAGTACAAATAAATCCAGTAACCGCACTGAACAGCCGACTGGGTTCAATGTTTTCAACGTTTGAGCATACTGAATGATCGATGGGCGTAGCTCGTCATTACCACGTACACGGCAATAGCTACTGTATCATACTATCGACATAACCAATTGACATGAATATAGAACATTGAATCATTTGTTTTGAAACTGTACGCGAGCTGATAGCGTTCTTACATCTACCGTCAAGTTTTTTCCCACCCCACGAGCTTAATGCATTCCTTTCGCCTCATCATTGATAACAAAGCACGCCCGAAGATTACTGGTTGAGTTGCACGTAATTGGCTGGGAATAAACCGGCTTGCCCAGCATAGTGACCAAACCACCAATCTTCGTCAGGGAACTCCAAATTGGTAATTGTGGCATCTTCAGGGAAGCTCAACTCTGTAAGTAGGATTTAGTGACTGCTTCTTCAGCGTGAGTGTGTATCTTACCATTATCTTCAGCTGCTTCGTAATCGTAGAGGGCAACAGCCGTGTGGCCGGCCTCAGCCGGAGCAGCAGCAGCAGCCGGAGCTTGAGTCTCGGGCTCGGGCTCGGGCTCTGGCTCGGGCTCAGCAACGGGTGGTGGTGGAGGAGGCACCGCCGCAGCAGCCGGTTGCTCTGAATCATCATCCCCCACCAATTCAACGTAGTTGCTGGGGAATAAGCCGCTCTCACCACGTGAGTTAGTGCCCATCCACCAGTCTTCATCCACCATGTCAATGTTAGTGACAACATCGCCCTCGATCAGGTCGATTTCGTTGTCCTCAGCCTTCTCGTAGTCGTATTGGATCACGGCACGATAACCTCCCTGAGACTCCTGAGCTGGCGGAGCTGCGGGTTCAGGGGCGCGATGAGGCTCTTGCTCTGGCTCTGGACTGGGCTCACGCTCGAGAGCGCCGGCTGCAGCAGCAGCTCCGACCCCAACAGCAGCACCTGCAGCAATACCTGCAGCCGCACCGCCAGCAAAACGGGCGGTAGATGAAACCTCCTTATCGTCTGCAAGATCAGACTCTTTGGGCACATCAATCTGGCTAGGAGTAATAGGAGGTGGAGCTCGCTGCTCAGGGGGGGTGCCGACTTCTGGCACAGGTCCACGGCTGACTGGAACAGCAACACGAGGGGGTGAGGGGGATCTCTCGCGCTCTGTAACTGTCTGATAAGCGGAGGGGTCTTCCCGTTCGTCATCCTGCTCATCTGTAGGTGCTGGTCGGCTAGGCAGTCCGGGAAGGGCAAAGCCTCCTGATGGGCGACCGCTAGGAACAGGCGGTGGTGTAGTGTCGTCCTCTGCAGGGCGAGCAGCGGGAGGGGGAGGGGCTCCCGCGCTGATAGGGGCAGTGTCCTTGAAACGGTCTCGCAGAGCTGACACACCTGATGGCGATGCTGGTGTATCTTCAGGTTGCTCGCCTGTGTTTTCCTGACTAATCTGTCCAGGCACACCACGACCATAATCGCCAGTCTGCACTGGAGCCCAGCTCTTACCCGAGTAGCCACTCTTCCACTCGCTTCCGCTCTTCTGTGGTTGAACAGGAGAAGTGTTACCAACAGGAGCAGGGGCGGGAGTACTGGAGGTGTCCTCCCCCCTCTCCCTGGCCTTTCGCTCAGCCCATAGTTGGGCAGGAGTCTTTCCGCCTTGATCAGCAAATGTACGGCTTGCCGCACCAACAGGAGCAGACTTTGCAGGAGCGGGAGCTCCAAAGCCTAGGCCACCGGGTGTAGGAGCCTTTGTACCCGAAAAGCCTCCTGCGCCACTAAACTTGTTGGCGACCTTGGGTTTAGGAAGGGATGTTAGACGCTCCGACTGGGCTGGCTGAGAGAAAGCAGACATGCGTTCCGATACAGGTCGGGTCTCGTCCTCCTGAGGTTTCTCCGGGGCAGCAGGCTTAGCCTGTGCCCGGATTGCAGCAATGTCAACCTTTCCAACGGGTTCGTAGGATCCCTTCACAGGAGTCGGCCTGTCATCCTGGTTCTTTTGAGCCTGAGCCCGAATAGCTGCAATGTCGACCTTGCCAATGGGTTGATAGCCGCCCTTCACCACGTCACCTGGTGTGTCGTCGCGCTTGACGGGGGCGCTTCCGCTGGTAGTCGCCGTGGGTTGCTTGCTGAGATCAGCAATGTTGACCTTTGTAGGCTTGTAAGCAGACTCGACCTTCTCAATCTGAGTCCTTGTGACAGGAGGAGCATCAGCACCCCACCCATCCTCGTCGACATTTTCCTCTCGTTTGGATCGAGCAGCGACGAGTGGGTTGGCACGGCTGGAGGCTGTCGGGGTGAAGACAGGCTTGGTCTTGACAGGAGGAGGTGCAGCAGAACGAGGACTGTCTGAGCTTCCCGCTGAGTACTTGGCGCCGGAAGCATCGGCCACCTTTTGCATGATTGACTCAATTTCGAGGTCGCTCTCGGAGCGAGCGGTAATCTGAACATGGTATCCGTGGAGGATCTTGGAAACCGCAGCAAGATGGCTGGTGAAGTAGCCCTTGGTTCGCTCCGGAACACCTCCTCCACACCATGCGATCAATATGTTCTTAGGAAGGCCACTGTTGGGATCCTTGACCTTGGCAAATGCGAATTGAATGCGCCCTTCACTAAAGTCCTCAATCAGATCGGCGAGGTCGCTTTCTGTCTACATGTTAGCGGACTGATGGGATGATAGACATCCCCTTGTGTGTAACATACCGCCTGTTCCTTGGACCTTGAGAATACTCTCCTTGGCTCCGCTGTCTTGGAAGGCATTCAAAAGAGGGGCCTGGACCGAGAATAGGGCCCAATGAGCATGAGTGGGAGAGTCGGAAGATGGCGGGGCACCGTTGACAACACTGCTATAACTGCTCTTAATGGACGGACCATTTATCGAGGTATTGAGAGATGCCATCTTGGGGATTCTTGAGATGTTAGGACGGAGTGATGCAGACTTGAAGCTGAAGCTGAAGCTGACGAGCTAGGATGACGGAGGTTGGGGGTGACGTTGACACCGTTGCTGCGGCGGCGACAGCTCCACACGGAGAGAGAAGATATAAGTTCCGGAGGCGTAGCCAGGGGAAGGATTATCGTGGTCAATTCTCCAATACGTCTGGTATCGCACAGCGTCGAGTTATTGCTGTGGGAGCTGTATATGGGAGAAGTTGAGGATGGAAACCGAACGTAGATCGGGGGACGGTGGGAATCTACCTTCGGAAACCATACAGTAACTAAAAGGTCCCAGAAGTGGGTTTCTTGGAGTGTGGCTGATGATGTATGTAGCTTCCATTCGTACGTCGTCTGCATCAGTGACCTAAGGTAACCTACCTAGGTACCTATGCTATGCTGGCGAATAGCTTAAAGAATGCCCAATCTTGGGGCGGTCTAGCTGGCCTACAGTGGGCTGAGCGGGGTCAAGCTGCGCTGTTCATGCTCCATTGTATGCGCTGTGTGCTCCGTTGTGCTGCTTTGATGAGCTGTTAACTGGCCATAGCGATGGGAGCTGTCAAAGTCAGCATTACATATCAGAATGCATCTACCAAGGCTATATGCAGATACCCAACTCCGGCAGCGGAGGGCTGACATATCCACCAGACATAAAGATACAAGCCAAAGGAAATGACGCAAGGACATTTTTCTATTTGCACAATCTGCTGCCCCTCTCTCTGCGTACTGTATGACTGCCCCTCTGGGTTTGTAAAAAGTGATAGACCCTGATTTTCTTTGATGATAGATAAGAAGTATGAGTAATTTATACACAATCACGAACTTATGTGCTCTAAGCTTTAATAGAGTTACCAGTCGCCGTAGAGTTGTATTCACAAATCCCAAGTGCCGTGCTCTTACACAGAGAATTGCCTTTACCTCTTTTTTCTTACACCTTGCCTGTCATTGGATACCAGTATTTGTACC